TCTTATCTTATTCTTATTGTGAAGTATTTAATATTTTGACTATAATAAATTAGTGCTAGTTAGTAGTTTGTATTCACACATTAATTAAAAATATTAAGTTACAGCGATTATTTAATAAAACGACACGTAAATTTCTTGCTTTGTTTTTCTTGTGATGAGACAGCTTTCCGAATGAGCGGTTGATTAAAAAAAAACTATGCCTATACCAAAGTGCTTAATTTAAATTTCTTTAAATAATGGATTTTCTATTCTATAGTCCATTAAAATATTAAATCTTTCCTCATTATGATATTAGTTTAGATAAAATATTGCAACAACCTGTATAATACAATATCTAAATTAGCACATTACGCAATGACGCATGTCTCGTGCACATCCCTGCATCGTGCAATATGAAACTACGTCAAAATATAAATGGCAGGCAATTTACCGCCGACATACGATGCTAAAAACCTCACTTTATATGAATCGTAATAAGATTTATCTCATTTATAGACTATATCTTATTCTGATGTGTAAGTTATATTACTGTAAAATTTCATTCGTTCAGTAGTTTTTGCGTGAAAGAGTAACAAACATTCATCCATACTCACTTACTTTTGACTTTCATATGTCATCTTAGTTTAGTATATGTTTATGTTATATAGAGAATTTAGGATTCTTTTATTTTCGAAATTGTATCAGTTTAAAAAATAAAGTTAAATTCAGCTCGAACGAAGTCCTACCCGGACTACAACTAGAAATTATATAATATTTGTTGTTAACTTTCATTAATGTTAGACGCTGTTCTGACTCCCAAACTAGCGTAAACTCTATGTCAGAAGACAGAGCCTTCCCAAAACAAAAGGAACACAGATTCAATTTTATAAGAATTACAGAATAATTAATTTTAAACTTTCGTGTTTAATATACATTATTTAAATTATTAACCGGGTCTGAACACGAATAATTTTATGGCAAATAAAGGTATTTACCTCTCTCGATGTTTCTACTAGGTTGCACTAGCCGTGCTCACGAGCTGTCAGCTCGTGAGCAGCCTTTATTTGCCATAAAATTATTCGTGTTAAGACCCGGTTAATAATTTAAATAATGTACAGAATAATTATTAGAAAACAATTTAATTTGTTTGTGACATTGAATATGTATTGAATTGTATAGATACATAACGTAATATATTAATATAAATAATATACTATAAAATCGTTCCATAATTAGGTCAGATTGCCGTTCCGCTGAGACAAGAAAATAGACCTGATTGTTAAGTCTATTATTACTGATTGACCCGTTATATGACCTGATTGACGATCCAATTATCTATACATATAAATAAAATTTGAGTGTCTGTTTTTAATATTGAAATAACAGTTTTTTACTATACGCATATGAATATAAATACGGTACATATACAAAAATATTTTTTTTTACAATTTTTGTCTATCTGTCTGTTTGTTCCGACTAATCTCTGAAATGGCTGGACCAATTTTGACGGGACTTTTTTTGGCAGGTAGCTGATATACTAAGGAGTAACTTAGGCTACTTTTATTTTAGAAAAATTAAATTAAACCAAAAAAATAATAGAAAAAATACATTAACTGATACAAAAGATGGTCTTATCGCTAGCAATCTCTTTCAGACTACTTTTGGGTGGATAGAGAAATTAAAATAAGAGAAGGGTACGTAACAAATAATTAACGTAATTGGCAGCAAAAAATGTGTTAATTTTCAGGAGCCATGCTTCGTAAAAAATAAAGGTAAGATAAGACTGAAATTTTTGCATAACAGGCATGAAATCTAAGCCCAAAGGAATGCCAATGCAGTGTCACGGGGCGTTACACTTTTAGTGATGTCCGCAATGTTGTTCAGATATATAAGCAACGGATACCATTTACCATTAGGTGAGCCGTCAGCTTGTTTGCATAGCAATTGCATAAACAAAATCTTTCTTTATTTGTTATTCATGAAAATGAAGTATAAGCCAAAGAACTTCAAAAACAGAAGTCACTGTCTTTGAAGTTCTTTGGAGTCACCACTTATCATCTGGGTCGTAAGCTTGTTTGTAATTAAAAAAACATAACGTATGTATATACTTAATGTACATATGTTGATAGGATTTTTATGCGCCCTTTGCTCAACTCAAAAATCTCTAACTTTTACGAGAAATATGCCCTTTTATAAGCGAAAGGGGCAATGGAGTCTTAAAATCTGGCAAGAGTCAGTATCTCAAATGAACCGAGATGAGGCGGGAGGGGGCGGTCATTAAGATAAAACCCCCAGGTTGAGACCCTCATTTACAACGCGCTTAAGAGAATAAAATGATCATTCCATTCCCTTGAGTTGGAAAATTAAAATGTCTTATTCGAGTCTATGTTTTCTTGTTTTTGAGAAAACTAAAATATCATTTCAACTCGACTTAAAATTTCAGATATATGTACCTACTATATATACCCGTACATATTAATACGCGAAGAAAGCACTTCGTCTACTGTGGTATGGGCATGTAATGCGTAGGAATGAAGATTATATTTTAAGAAAAGTGTTACATATGAATGTTATAAGGGCAGAGGAAGGCCGAAAAACAGATGGATGGACTGTGTGTGTGAAAGATGATATGGTAAGAAAGGGAGTAAATGATGAGATGACTGCGAACAGGAATTGAAAAGAAAAACATATTACGCGGAGCCCAAATAAATGGGATAAGGAAGAAGTAGATGATGATGATGATGAGGTGATGATTACGTGAAGGAAACAGTTTATCCTTCTTTTTATGAAAATTACACGGTCGAACTGATGTGAAATTTGGCACAGTGAAAACTTTACACACCCACACAAATTAATTAACCTAATTTCATACTCTTCTTTGCATCCTTTACTGCTACCAAGCTATTAGTTTTCAATCTCTTAAAACAATTTACTTGATGAATTGCATAAACTCACAAAGTACTATTTATAAATGTAGGGATCTAAGTTAAAATAGAAATCTCAAAGTCAAGTCGTTATAGTCGTTGCTTATAGGGACTGGCCTCTGGAATGAGTAGTGTAATAACAAAATATAACTGTTTAAAAGTAATCATATTGAGTTTATATGAATATAGATTCTGACTATTTCTGTTTCTCAATATTGGTAAACATGAATTAACTATGTACAATTGTACTACTAAACTAATAAACTATATACAAAACTAACTACTATTTACGTTACCTACTACTATTAAAGTTTTACCATATACTTAAATGATAATTGTACATAATTATCATTTAAGTATATGGTAAAACTTTTCAAGTCCGAAAATCTAAAATATACTATTTAAAATTGCCAAGATTTAATATTTTTGATTTGATTTATTGCACTGGAATTAGCAAACAAACTAACGGATTGGAGTAACGCCAAGTAGTGATTGTTAGTTCAAGACATGGCGCGTATGAAGTTGTTAAGAACACTGCCCCCATTACGCAGAGAAAAGGCCAGTTCATCAGTCTTGATAACCGTAGAAAATTTAGCATAGTACAAAGAAAAAAAAATAGTACAATCTCGTAAATTAATCCATTTCGTACATCAAAATCTTGTACTAAGAAGAAAATGTCCTCGTACCAAAGCGCAATAAATCTCCGTATTTGTACGAGAGTCCTCGTATAGGAGACAGCCCTGCACCCCAGCTGCCGTAATATTTTTTCAATCACACGAGAATGTATAGAATAATTCTTTAATCTTTAATAACATGTCATTTTTTCCACCGCTGGCAAAAGGTATAAATAAAAGAAGCATTTAAGATAAACAGCATGTGCTATCTATCAGAATAATTAACACTACGTTTTATGAGAGCCAGTACCGCGCTTCGTAATTGAATCTATGTAACAATTTGTAATGTACAAGCTTTACAAGTAAATGTTTGTACAGTTTCACTAAATATTGTTTTGTTTTTAATAACGTGGGCCATCATTCCATATGAGGATAAAATATGTATTGAATATATATGAAATATAATATGAAAGTATAAAATCCTAAAAGAATTGTCACACAGATTTATACATACGAACTAATTTGTTTCTAATGACGTAAGATTTATTTTTTTACACTTTGAAAAATGTTAAAAATGACAGCTCCAACTTGTCTATTTCTCACCTTATTTCTTCTAAACCACGCAACGGATTATATGCAATTATCAGTATTACGTATTTAGAGAAATGCTTCTGGAAGATCTTTATAAGTAGGTATAACAATAGCTAACTCCGGGGGGGAAGGGGATTGTTAGTAATGTGGATTGATAACCCCATTGCTAGCGATGTACCTTGTCAGGTCGACCTCCACGCGGTTCCCCCTGGAAACCATCGTGTTAAATTCCTGGTGATTTTATCACGATGGGCTAACTGACCTGATCATGCTCATCTTGTCATCCTCTACCGGTGCCCCGCCAGCGTAAACCGTTAGCGCAGGCGGGTGCACCATTCCATTATCATTCACAAAAAAAAAAAAAAATAGCTAACTCCGCGGTCATACTCTGTATATTGTTGTTTGTACACCGATAGGAATAAAATTTTGAATGATTAAAAAAAATCAATTTTGTATATAGCTTATACTTTGAATTAGCTACATTACTTTTAAGAAAAACGTATCGGTTAAGCCTGAAGTTAGTGAGTACTAATAATTGTTTTCGGTTCTATTACGTTGATAAAATCCTTCCATAGTTTTCCTTGTATTTCCAGGTACAGACAGTGGTCTGTTACATTTATATTATATATATAGATACATATCTGTCCATCAAACATGTACTATATCCATGCGTAACGGAATTTAGTTATTAGTCGTTATTACATAGTATAAAATAAAGTCGCTGTCGCTGTCTGTCATAGTATTAGACAGCAACAGATATGCTAAAATTTTTAAAAGTACGAATCGAATTTTGAAGCATTTTTTTTTAATAGATAGAGTGATTCTAGAGGAAGGTTTTTATATATAATACATGACCATCATAATGTACAATAAACAAAAGACAAGGTCTTACCTTCATACAACCAATCCGGGACTCCATTATGTATAGTGCCAGGTACACCCGTTTCCGTCACTTTGTACCCGGTTGATGACCGAGGAGCCGGCCGGTAGTAGATGTCGTAATCTTTAACCGTGATCAGACCATGGCCTTTAGGAGTCCACGCGGCCAACAGAAGGGATGGACCTTCGGTGATCACTCCACCCCCTACTTCATCTGGCAACGGCGTGAGTGGGTACGATTCCCTGGAACAATATTAAAAAACTCAAATTCACAACAAATAAACAAAGAAAAATAAATAATAAAAAAAATAAATGATTACGCACCACATATATTAATATGTAAAGCAAAACATTGTACCTTTTGAAAAAATTACGCGGCGCAGAAGTAGGAAATGTCATATTTTTATCGTTTGTATAGAAAAGTAGAGAAGATTTACATATTTTTTCAATTATGTTTAAAAATACATTAAATCAATAAAAACAAATATTACACACATTACCATGTATTAGACACACACATGTATAGTAATTATATAGTCTTTGCTAATAGAACCTTAATGATGTTCCAATTTATAATTTAAATTAATTATTATACTATTTGGACCACTTGTAAGAATTATTATCTAAAACCTAAATTCAATAGCAACCTCGAATGTTGTAGATTTTGGCAGCTGTTTTTATATATTTCTAATAACGCAATTGTCTATTACAACTGCAAAATTAAATCTATTCGATTAAATTTTTATCAATATTGATATAGTAGAGACTGAACTTCGACTACTTAATGTCTTTTATCCATTATTTGCAACTTCCGCTATAGAGTAATCAATCATGCATTCGTTATGAATCGAGAGTTAAAAACTGCTCCATCTACACCATCCGAGTTAACAGTCTTGAAGGTATATTTATATTTATGTTCTCTTCACTTGTTCACAACTTGATCTCTAATACAGTGCTTATCATAGACGCTCATGTGAACTCATAAGTAACTCAAAATATTCTTATTTTTCTCACCCAAGTGTCTCTTTATTTTTCTGAGTCTATTATGTAAAATAGGGTGGGCTTATATTGTTGCAGCCGGGATGGATGTAGATAAGAAAACGTTCAAGTGGAATGAAGCAGAAAGCTTTTTGCCAACCATCATGCTTCATTAACTATGGCTACTTATGTTTTTTTTTTTATATTTAAATACATTTTTCCACAGACATATTCGTCCGTGCCTTTTTTAATTTACTTTAATATTATTATATTTATTTAATTTCCATTTTTGTACAACTCCAGCCGAGATGTTACAATTTGCCTAACAGTGACACCGAGGCAGACCTTATCCGTCTGGCCCAGAACCACCGCTGGCCGGCCGGGTGAGTTGACAACATGCAGTGTCACCCATCTTTATTTGGAAGATTAGATTTATCAATATGCATATACAATTATATAAATCTTACACTACTACTAATTTCACAGTTTTCATTACATTGTGCAATGTAAGAATTCATAATGTAACAATACACATTATGAATTCTTACACTGCATATACAATTATATGAAATCTTATTCTAACACTATTTTCAAAGTTCACTATTTGTTATAGTCCAGGTTTTGTTTAATTATTGATTGTTTAATTTCACAGTTCACTTTTTGTCGTAATTCGGCAATTTTTTTTTTTTTTTCCCTTTTTCACTTCCCTTTCCCCTTTTTTTCTTTCTTTTTTTTCTTTTCCTTCTTCCTCCTTTTCTTTTCCCTTCCTTTTTTTTTTTTATACTTTTAGCGAGCATGTTCCGGCCTTTCCAGTCCAAAGCGCCCCGACGATGCATCAGCTGTTCTGGTTTTCTTTGTGCTGATTATTTTAGCGCAATCAGCGCATCAACGATCGCCCTGTCTCTATTTTTAATCGCCATCTGCAGTGAGTACTCATGAATGTCCGAGTGAGTCGCTCTTGTATAAAACGAGCAACTGCGTCTTCTCGATTTCTCGTATAATATACGCAGTCGCCTGTGTGCCTGGTGATGGCTACCACGGCATGAGAGTAGCTGCCATGCACTTCCAAGGGTTTACTTCTAGTATTGATGATAATAACCCTCTCCGATGTCAGTCCCTGGGCCTCATGAATCGTCAGCACTTTAGACTCCTCGTCCATTCCATATCCCTCGGATATTAGCTTTGCTTTCTCCGCTTGGGTATGAACCAGGTATAGAGTCCTGCTTTGGTCCGATGGTATGACTTTGCTGTCGTATTCCATGAGCCTCAGCGACCTAATCCGGAGGTTGGTCGAGTATATCCCGTTGTATACTTCTCTCAGGGCATACGCTACATCCAAGGGGTTTCTGTGAGTACATAGAAACTCCCTAGTACTACTTATGTTACATATATGCATATTTTGTACCATATATACTTAATATCATAAATTCAAACGTGTGTCTTTCTTTCTGATTATTGCCTTTTTACCAAAGAATGTCTGAACACATTAACATGAAGGTTTTTTGTTTGGTTTTAAGTGGACGCATAAACACTAGTTGTTATCTAAAAAAGAAGATAAAGTCAAAAACAATTGTATCTACTAACATACATATATTTTCGTTTTTGGTTAAAATATATAAATCTTTGCCATATATACGGCAGACACTTTGTTACTTGGTGAAAATTGTTGAATTTTACGAGCATATCGGGTTGATATAATTTTAAAATAATATTGAGGTAACATAAAAAGTAGATTTTATTTATCAATCTGCAATAGAAAAACACGTTTCGGCATATCTGATGGTAAGTGGTAACTGGCACATATATACTCGTGTATGAATAGCTCCACGGAAATCACGTAATGTGATACTAGTAACGAGTTATAAGTTGCCATTTCAAAGGACTAAGGTATCAACATCTGTACCCTATAATTTCACTGTCATATCTCACCCTTTAAACAAAACATCCTACAAGCTTCAGAAATAGGTGAGACAGAGGTACCGACGCAGATGAATATATACAAAGTTTACCTGCGGTAAAACATTCTGCATGTCTTATTTCTTTATCATATTTTTAATCATTGTAATTCTCACACCATTAAGTGTCGGTACTAGGTTCTTAATTAGCACATTTACTAACAGAATACTTAAATTGAGAATTTTAAGCTTCAAATAATTTATTAAACCCATTAGACCTTGTTGCTAATACCTAATAACAAAGAGCACGAAATGTATAAATTTTAAAGTGTTTATCTTCGTTTATACGGCAAAGTAGGAAATTAATTTCGTTGGAAATTATTAGATATTATAAATTGCAAGATGCTCAAGTTTTGTAAAATGTATTTTAGTAGAAGAAAAATTATATCCAGAGTATTTTCGAGGTAGAGTTTTGTATTGTCGTCTGCGTGGGTTACACAAAGCATTGTAGATATGTTTTGGTTGGAGATCAGTCAGGGAAATAACAGGAAATAGAGGCGTCTTAGTCGTCTGGAATGGTAACGTATGAGGCTTGGGCTCTGTTAAAGTGATTTCGGTGATGCTATTCATGTACATATATAGGTTACAGTTACTCAGGTGGGTCAATATAGAATATTAATAAATGAAATTTTCAAATAATTCATGAAACGGCTACATGAAATATAGTATATAACGCCTCTATAATTTAACTGAAATTGATGATCGGACCACGCGTTAATTATATTATTTTCTTGTACAAAACACGTATTGTTGTCTAGTAATTAATTATTAAAGTAAATGTATGAACTTGGTCCTAACGAGGGTTAGCTCGCAACAAGTTGGAGCTTGTGTGGATAAATAAAATAGATCTAAACACGAACAATGTGAGAATCGATTGAAAACAGATGGGACAATATGTTGGGAGACGATATGATGTGATTATGAATACAAAAATATATACATTATATAATTCAGAGAATATTAAAAAAATATATATTTAAAGTTTAATGCACAAATGTACATATGGCGAAATAAACTTCAAAGGACGTTCTCTATCAGTCAAATTGAGAAATTAGGAAGTTGTGCAAAATACAACAATATATAATCTCAGAACAATTCAAACAGCGCCCTCTGGACCCAAGTTAAGCTAGCTAAATCTTGTGTTATGGGTACTAGATAACGAATACAAATAGATAGATACTTTTTTTGTAAATACATACATAATATATATTGAAAACACCCAGACAAATACAAACAATCATAGTCATGAATACAAATATTATTAGTATTTTTTTATTGTAACTGTATCCACCACTCCACAATTCCTTTCAGTCACTTAAAGGTTGACTGGAAGAAATCCCTCTTTTGGGATAAGTGCCGCCATTGTACCATTTATTTATTTTTTTAAGACATGTATCTGTTAATATTCTGTACAATAAAGAATTACAAAGAACCAAACAAATTTTTGCACCGTGCGAGGAATCGAACCCGCGAGCGTTGAAAGTAAAGCGGTGTGCTAAAACGCTAGACCACCGAGAACTTCAAACCAAAAATTATAGTATACCTTACATCAAACTACAATTAATAATCGCAGCTTACAAAGCAAGCTGCTTTGTGACATAAATATGAAGATTTTGAACTTTCATCTTTTGAAAAAATATAATTATACTTTCAAGATACAGTACACTACAGTACTAGTTACAACTTACTGTAAGAAGTATATAGTACTTACATAGCTTTAACGAGGAAAATGCAGGCAAAGTTTAAATTAAAGCCATGCGATTAATCTACAGGAATAATGTCTGTTTGAGGGCGTCAACTAGACAGTGAAGTTCTGTGCCAGATTTAAGTGCTCCAGTTTGAGATTAATTGTAAGAATCGAAGACGCGTTGTAGCGAGAAATGGTAGAGAAGAAATTTAATTTGAATTGTAATAATATCTCTGGATATTTCACATAGCGCCATCTAGTCTCAAGCTAGATACAGATTATGTTATGGATACTATACAATGGATAGAAATACTTAAATACATCTTTTTTTAAATACACATTTAATATGCACAGAAAATACCCATTACTCTATTAGCTTGTGTGTTATATTAATTACATAAAAAAACCCTATGTATAGACAGCATGAAAGACCAATTAATACAAATGTATGCTACAAGGAATCGAACCCGCGAGCATCGAATATATAATTTTTTTGAATAGCTGTCAGCCGCCGCTTTACCCGAGTGTACAAATGAAGAAAAGGAGATTAAATTTTTCATTTTCATATTAGTTTGTCTGTAAAAAGAAAGATAAATCATTGCCTATTTGGTTTACACGTGGAT